GCCTCTTTTTAATTGCCTTCTTTTTTTTAAATGAACTCTTAACATCTTTATCATTTGCTTTCTAATATGGTATTGGTTATGTATTTATTCTAGGATTTGTTTAGAATCAAACATATTTGAAACCATGTCTAGGAAATAGCCAATAATTGCAGAACTATTCTTAGATGCAGCACAAAAAATAATGCATCATAGTTCTTGCTATATTGGCATTCCATAAGCAAATAAGCCAATAAAAATAGGATTAGTGGGGCAAACAAAATACATTATTTGTCAATTATATAAATATTTATTTATATTAAATATGTCATCATATATTTGACATGGCCATACTTCAAAAGATTATTTTTGTTTTACAAAGAGAAAAATTAAGGGGTAAAGTAACCTGTCACTGAAATGAACATTGGTATGTAACAGGTAGGTCTCTAGCCTCTTAATTTGGGATGGCCAGATCACATTTTCAACAAATTGATATTTATCTATTTTTGTTTGTATTTATATCATTCAAAGCCTAAGTCATAAGTTAAATTCTGCAAATAGTTCTATTAGATGCAATATCTGGGAGTAAATTTTATGGATATTAATCATATTTGTGTCTCTCACTTTTATAAATATTTATTAATTTTCTAGGATTCACTATCCCATTTCTATTCAATGTGTTCATTGTTAATTGTGTTCAGTAATTTAAGATTTATCCCAATGGACTGTTAGTTAATTTTTCTAAATTACTTTTGAAAAGGTAGCTTGCTCTTTAAGTATACATTAAAAGGCCATGACAGCAGTGACATTAAAAAATAAGTATAGTGGCCTTCATAAATTTAAAAGATTCTTTAATTAGTACCGAGGACATTTATTTTGTGAACCTCGCCTTTTTTTTTGAGGCAAGATTTATAAAATGCACTATGAAGCAATTGTAATTGGAAAATCAGGAGGTTCTTGTTTGCTTTAAAAAAGGCATATTTTTAGTATTTATGTGCATGATGTACTAATGAAAAATATCATTCAAGATAATAACGACATTTTGATAATGTTAATTCTTCCAATCTATGAACATGGTATATGCTTCCATTTATTTGTATCTTCCTTAATTTCTTTCTTCAGTGTTCTATAGTCTTCCATGTTCAGGTTTGTAACCTCCTTGGTTAAATTTATTCTTTGGTACTTTATTTTTGTTGTTGCTACAGTAAATCATTTTTTTCCAGGTTTCTTTCTGATATTCCATTGATGGTGTACAAAAATGCCATCAATTTCTGAATATTGACTTTGTATTCCACTATTTTACCAAATTCACTTATTAGGTCAAGTAGTTTTTTGGTAGAGACTATAGGGTTTTCTATGTACACTATAATGTTGTCTGCGAATAATGGCAATTTTACGTCCTCCTTTCTAATTTGGAGGTTTTTAATTTCTTTTTCTTGTCTGGTTGCTATGGCTAGAGTTACCAGTACTATGTTGAATAAAAGTGGTAATAGCAGACACCCTTATCTTCTTCTTGATCTTAAGGGGAAAGTTTTAATTTTTGCTCATTGAGTATGATGTTGGCAGTAGGTTTCTAGTATACGGCTTTTAATAAGTTGAGGTATGTTCCCTCTATTCCCATTTTGCTGACTGTTTTTTATCATAAACAGTTGCTGAATTTTATCAAATGCTTTCAGCATCTATTGATATGATCATGTGGTTTTTGTCCTTCATTTTGTTTATGTGATGTATTATGTTTATTGATTTGTAAATATTGTATTATCATTGCATCCCTGGGATGAATCCCACTAGATGATGGTGTGTGATCTTTTCCAACTCATTTCCTATTAAAATACCAATGGCATATTTCACAGTTCTTGAAGAGCTATTTCAAAAATTTATGTGGAACCAAAAAAGACCCTGAATAGTCTCAGCAATATTTAGAAAGAACAAAGTAGGAGGGATCACAACACTCAATATCAAACTATACTACAAGGCTACTGTATTAATGGTCTGGTACTGGCATAAGAACAGACACAAAGATCAAAGAAACAGAATAGAGAACCTAGAAATAAACAGAAGCCTCTACAGTCAGTTAATATTTGGCAAAGGGGGCATGAGCATACAATGGAGTAAGGATAGCCTCTTCAATAAAAGGGGTTGGGAGAACTGGACTAGTACATGCAAAAAAAAAAAAAAAGAAGAAGAAGAAGAAGAAGAAGAAGAAGAAGAAGAAGAAGAAGAAGAAGAAGAAGAAGAAGAAGAAGAAAGAAAGAAAGAAAAAAAACTAGACCACTGACTTATAGCATACACCAGAATAAACTCAAAATGTATGCAAGACTTAAATATAAGCTGTCCCTCGCTGGTGTGGCTCAGTGGATTTAGCACCAGCCTGTGAACCAAAGGGTACCTGGTTTGTTTCTTAGTCAGGGCACATGCCTGGGTTGCAGGCCAGGTCCTCAGTAGGGGGTATATGAGAAGCAACCACATATTGATGTTTCTTTCCCTCTCTTTCTTCCCCTCTCTCTAAAAATAAATAAATAAAATATTTAAAAATATATGTAAGTTGTGACACTAAAAACGTCCTAGAGGAAAACATAGGTAGGAAAATTTCAGATATCCCATGCAGTGATATTTGTGCTGATATATATCCTAGAGCAAGAGAAGTAAAGGAAAAAATATATAAATGGGACAACATCAAACTAAAAAGCTTCTACATAACTAAAGAAACCATCATTAAAATGAAAAAGGATCCAACTGTATGAGAGAACATATTTGCCAATGATACATCGGACAATGGTGTGATCTCCAAAATATATAAAGAATTTACAGGACTCAACACTAGGAAAAAAAATCCAATTTAAAAAGTGGGCATATGACCTCTACAGAGACTTCTCCAAAGGGGACATACAGAGGGCCCAGAGACATATGAAAAAATGTTCAACATCACTAGCTGTCAGAGAGATGCAAATTAAAACCACAACCAGATATCACCTCACATCTGTCAGAATGGTCATAATAAATCAACAAAAACAAGTGCTGGCAAGAATGTGGAGAAGAGGGAACCATAGTGCACTGTTGGAAGGAATGAAGACTGTTGCAGCCACTTTGGAAAACAGTATGGAATTTCCTCAAAAAACCAAACATGGAACTGCCTTTTGACCCAGAAATTCTATTGCTAGGAATATATCTTAAGAATCTGGAATCACCAGTCCAAAATAACCTATGCATCCCTATGTTCATAGCGATGCTATTTACAGTAGCCAAGTGCCAGAAACATCCCAAGTGCCCATCAGTAAACAAGTGAATCAAGAAACTGTGGTGCATTTACACAATGGAATACTACACAGCAGAAAGAAGGAACTCCCACCTTTTGCAACGCCATGGAAGGAACTGGAGAGTATTTTGCTAAGTGAAATAAACTGGTCAGTGAAAGACAAATACCATATGATCTCATCTATAACAGGAATCTAATGAACAACATAATCTAATGAACAAAATAGAATCACAGGCATGGAAACATGGGACAGACTGAAAGTGACCAGAGGAAAGGGGTGGGGGGATAATGGTGGAAAGAAGGGGAAGGGACTGAGCGAAGTACAGGTATGAATGACCCATGGGCATGGACAAGAGTGTGGGAATTGACAGTGAGAATGGGGGGTGGGATGGGTAGAGGAGGACAAAGGGGAAATATTGTGACAACTGTAATAAAATAACAGTGAAAAATGATTTAATAAAAAATAACACCTGGGAAATTAGTATTGTGGAGCGTAAAAAGTTAATCTATCCATATAATTAACACATATACATGTGTATTATATTTGTGTATATATTATGTGTACATATATATTAGAGAACTGGCAATACAAAAGTCATATTTTGAAGTCTCTATTGCTCTATCAATACTAAAGATATGATATGCCTGTAAAAATTAAAAATATTTTTTGACTTTGTTAACTTTAACAGTTTCAAAGGGTATCTTCCAAATCAGTGAATTTTCACCTTATGTGATAAATAGTTTGCATATATAAATAATGCTTCCATATAATACAGTTATAACAATTACAGCTTTCATTAAAAATCATTTTCTCTTGATACTAAATATGAAAAAACAGATAAAATACCTTTGTTCACATTAAATAGGAATAATCATCTAATTAAATCAAAAGGACCCAATAAAATTGGGAACTCTTTAGTTTTATTGAAATAAAAATTTAAAAATTGATAAAATTTTATTCCACTCAAAGACCCATAAAAGGAAATAAAAACATTTTAATTTTTTTATCAGTCCCATAGACTACTCATAGATCTTTGAGTATATGTTTTAATTCCTTTGTTTATTCTTTCTAACAGCAATTCTTTCTAATATTAATATATTAATATATATACATAAGTAGAATGGTAGGCTTAATGTTGCTAAATTTTCTTCCTACTTCTTATAATGAAATGAATCTTGAGTAACAATTGTAGTTAAAGAGCATTAAAAAAGTAACGCATATGCATTTAGATTTCCTAACTGCATTTTAAGGGTTATATTTCAGTCTTACAACTTAAGTCAAAATTATCATAGCATAATATATTAAAAACCTGACTCCTCCCTCTGTGCTTGGCACTCAGACCTATGAATGGCTTCTAGTTGATAGTAACCATATGTGGTCCAGGAAATGTAGAAGGGCAGGCTAGCCAAAGGATCTTTCGGGATGGCAATCTGCCCACACACCAACTACCTCAGCTCTGTTGCTCCTGGGGAATAAGGAAAACCAGTCTAATTACTAAGTGTGAAGATTTTAAAAAATATATTAAAATCCAGATCTTGACGTTTTGAAGTGGTAATGTGGCTTCCCTACAAAGTGTTGTTTTTTTTTTAAATGTTGGAGCCCTACCCTTTTCGAATCATATGGTAGAATAGAATAAGTTAAAATAGGAAATGCCTTAAATTTTTAAAACTTGTCTTCTAAGTTATATGCCAAAGAAATATACTAGCATAGCAAAATTTCCACCAAAACTTATTAATATGAAAACATGCATATTTTTAAATCTCTTACCTCCTTCCAGGAAAAATTCTTAATTTCTGAGATACATTTGTTCAGCCCAACTGATGAAGTACTTGGGCACTTCAAGTACCCTATAAAAATAAACAAGTTCATTCTTAAAATTGAATGTAAAGCAAATAATTAGCAATTAATTAATAGGTGCACCACTAAATTAAATTTTTTCAAACAATGTCAATATCTTGCATAGAAATTGTAGTGCAGGAAGCATAAGGTATTAGGGGAGGCAGATACTGAATTTGACAAACACTTCGCTCTTGCTCCTTCAGACAAATCAAAATTTGTAATCACTAATGGGATTTAAGGTACTTTGAAATAATTCATTATTTAGGTTCTGACTCTGCTAAAGAATAACTGATATACCTGATTTATTTGAGAATTGGTTGAAACACTAATACGTTCTATTGCATTGTCTGTAATGCTATGATGTCATTAACATTTTTCACGACTGATGATGAAAGGCTCACATTGACAACCCAGCTAGGCAGTAATTTCATGGCAGTGCTAGCGAGCAACAAGATTTCACTTTAACAAAAGTTTTGGGGTTTTTTCCCTATGTAAGGAAAATATACCGTATATGAAAAATAAATAAGAGTTTAAATAACTGAATCTTCTCAAATATAAAATTAAAAACATGTTTTAAATATTTTTACTAAAATATTATAGATGCTTTGTAATAGTAATCACACACAATTCATATATGACTACAAAATAAAAACAACTTAGAAAACAAAGTAAGAACAATTCAAATCTTGGCCAAATACTTAGTATTATTTTATCTGGGAAAAAATATAATTTGGTGAAAACAAAAATGTATGCAGTGGAGATTCATGAGCTAAGTATAAACTCTATTATGTAATAAGAATCTTTTTTAAATCAATAAAAACTACAGTAATACAGAGTCTAAAGGAGTATTTCTTTTATATTTATTTCCAAGCTTATTTTTACTGTACATTTTTAAGAAATATAGACTATTATAAACTACAGAATTTTGGGGGAAACATAGAATATATTATACACATTTATGCAATATGTTTTTGTTGGATTCCTTATTATGAATAGGATTATAGATAACTTAAAAATTGATATATGCTAAGTTATAGGTAAATAAACATATAATCTATTACCCCAAGAACTTATGCAAATATTGACACTCAAATGACAATATCATGTTAAATATTCCTTTAATGCATACATCACAAGGTTAAACTATTTCACAGCACTAAATAAGGTGGAAAACAAGATCTTTGGGGTTGAGGAGTCAAGTAATTCAGAGACTAGCGTTTTTGAAGTCTCATGTATGAGGGATATAGGAATACCATATTATATGATGAGAATGGTATTGGAGAGAGTGGCACTGAGCTAAAACTAACATCTTAATGAAAGAGGGGGAGTGACTAGAGGTTTCCGAAGACTCTTATAAAGAAGAATGGTGGGTAGATGTCATGAGATCACAGTAAGGAGGTTGTAGGTAGGAGGGAGACTGCTTTGGAAAAGACATTGAAGAAAAAGAGAACATTGCCCCATCTCCAGTCTCAGTCATTTAAGTGGTGTGATATGGAAATAGCTATCTCTTGAAAGCTAGCATGAGAAACAGTCAACAAAGAAAAACTAGGTTCTATTATAAAGAAGATAAGAGGAAAATATATAAAGTGGTTTGAGATGCAGGGGCTTTGTTGGTGAGTTCCAGAAAACATGGCGAAAGAGTAGATGTGAGAAGCAAGAATGATTTGGAAGTTCTCAGTTCTTTTTGATCATTGACATAAAATGAAGAAACAAGCTTGATGAGTCCAATCCTAGTGTTTCCAGAAGGAATGGTGTGAAATCTTGTTAGCAGTGTTTCGGGATTTAGGATGTCCATTTGACTCTTGATGATAGTGCTCTCTGACCCAGCAAAGGAGGTGTGAGTTCTTCTTGACATCTGATGGACACCTTTAAGTTAACACAGGCACTTTCTCCCTTGATCTCCATCAGTGGTGGCCTGAAGATGAGGAATGTACACTATGTGTGGGCTTCCTTTTTACTTACACAGAAGGCATCCTATGGCCAGACTAGAAGTCAGCTTACACTAAGTGCCTAGCCAGTCTCTGGAGCCCTGCTGATGGTAGCCTCAATCTAACCATTTTTCTGAACCTTCTGCGTATATAAGATCGGAAGGTCTTCAAGGGGGCATCACTGCATCTCAGTATTTTGATTTCTTGACTTCCACTGTGGAAGGCTAAAGAAAGAGGAGTTTTGTGCCAAATATAGGGGCTTCCATTTTTTTTATATGTTTGAATTTTCTCTTATCCTAATATTATGGATGTTCAAGTTATTTCATTAAGAGCTTTATAAATTTAACAGGTCTGATTGTTCATAACTAATGTAGATATTTATTATTAATTCAGTAAATATTTATAATTTAATCTGTGCCAGGCACTATTTTAGGCAGTGGTGACAAGTAATTAAAGTGCATGGCCATTAGGCACTTAAATTTTATTCAAACAATAAACCAAATACACAAATTCATAACACAAGGTCAAGCAATTTTAAGTGCTATAAAATAAGAAGATAGAAGATGGCTGGGTAATAATTGGCTTGGGATGGTTAGGGAAGTCCTCTCTGAGTTGGTGACATTTTACCCAAAGTCTGAAGAAACCATATAGGTATCTTGGGAAAGAAGATTCAAGACCACAAAGGCCATGAGGCAAGATCATTCATAGATTATTCCAGAAACAGCAATGCAGTCAGTGCATAATGAGTGAGAAAGGAAAGATGGCAGCAGATGGAGAGACAAAATATAATATAATTGTAACTATATACAAGTTCAATCTTATCAGTAAATACACTACAAATGTTGGTAAAACCTATGCCATGAACACAATTTCCTAGTTAACCACAGTATGTTGGTCAAATCAAAATATTGTAAAAAAGAAAACAAACAACAAAAAGCTATGGAAAATATTATTAAAAGAGCTTACACATTTCAGAACGTCACTTATCTCTACTTTAAATAGACCACAATGGAACCATCATGCTGGTATAAAAAAATTTACTCTAGCACATGGAATGTTGTATAATTCAATAGTTATAACTATAATTAAAATATACTTAATTTTATTAAATGAAAATATGCGTCTTCAATGAGAATGTTGAGAACCTTCTGGCACAAGTGAGATTTTCCACTCATCTTTGGGAAGATTATATGAGCCAAGTAGACACCTGCAGATACTAAATATCTGATCCTACCTGACAGTTCTTTTTTTTTTCAATTCACACCCTATAAGTATTCAACGAAAAAAAAAAAATCTGTCAAATGAGGTTCCATTAGTGTCATTAATGATTCCTAACCAGCATACTTTCAATGTTCTAAAATGATAGTAACAAGTGAAACTTAAATGGAAAACTCCTATTGAAAATAAATTGTAATTCTTTATCTTATCTATTTCTTTTCTTTGATCCTGGTGTTCTATTGGAAACTCTAAAGGAGTTATGACTTTGACAAATCTTGATGTCTGCTATTTCCTACAAGGATGTACTAAGAACAAATTTAACATTCTACTCTCTGTTGCACTTGTTTTCATTAAACAATGATTTACTAGGAGTTAGCTGAATTGAAAATTACATTGGCCATTTTCTTTAAAAATAACAGTAATTTTATTAGAAAGACTTAAAACTGTCATTAATATTTCTAGAAAACCTCACTACAAGTTTAAAATTTCTCCCTCTCTTTCTCTCTGTCTTCTTCCTTCAGTCTCTATCTCTCCTTTTGTCTGTTTCTCATGAGATGGTGGGAAGGTGAGGTAATTTAAGAAGTTGATATGAATAAATTTAAAACCGTTCACTTGGGGTTTAATTTATAATGCAGAATTTCAAGTGATTTTGATTAAAATTAGAAGATGCATTTTAAATAACTTGAAGATATGTGCTGTTCTGATTATTTACATTTTACTAAAGTGTATAAATTTTAGTACTTTTGAACATATTTATGTTTATTATAAAATTTCCATATATTATTTATTAATAATTTAACAATATTTAATAAACATATCTAATACATTAGGCAATGTTTTAGGTGCAAAATTAAACTAAGGATGTGGCTAAAACATAACCTCCAGGGAGCAGAGACTTGATTTTTTTAAAAAGATTTTATTTATTTATTTTTAGAGAAAGGGAAAGAAAAGGAGAGAAACATCAATGTGTGGTTGCTTCTCATGCGCCCACACTGGAGACTTGGCCCAAAACCCAGGATGAGACCTGACTGGGAATCAAACTGGGAACCCTTTGGTTCACAGGCTGGTATTCATTCCTCTGCACCACACCAGCCAGGGCAAGATTTGCTTTTTATTTGCCAGTATACCGCCAGGGAATAGAACGCTGCCTTCCTGAGAGTAGCATTTAAATATATATATAATAATGAATATATATTTTAAATATGTGTATGTATGTGAATGAATATATTTTTGAGTAAATGAATAAATGTGTTCCATCTCCTTTCTTTTATTTTACTGAGAGAGTCAGACAACTAAATTAATTATTTCAGTACAATGTGATGAACATAATGATGGTCATATGTACTGAGTGCTTAGAAAGAAAACTGGTGAGAAAACAAATCAGACTATGCGGTGTTCAAGTTTTCAAGTCTATGAACAGAGAATTAAAATGCATAGTCAAGATTCAGAGTACTTACATCTGGGGCTGATATATCATTAGGCACTATACCAAATTGTTTAGGTAAAACACATACATAATTCAAGGTCCCCAAAAATATGTAACTGTGAAAAAGATGCAAATTAGAAATTAAGAAATATTTAAATAAATACCTATTAAATTTCGCCTCTCAACCTTATTATTAATTGTAAATGCTTTATCATTAAAATCCTCTCATTTTGCAACTGTCCCCAAATAAACATTATTACAAATATCATAGAAAATGATAGTGAAATGAAAAGACAAATTATTATGTACTTTCAAAATTTAAAACAAAAAAATGTTTAATGTGGGATAAAGGTAGATTTAATACATCCAAAATGCTATGAAGTGAGGACATCAAAACAAAGACATGACACCTAGTGCTTTGCAAAACCTAGA